TCAACCTCTAGTAGAATGATTATGTGTCACTACCGATAAGTAAAAGATATAATTCTTGTGCCAATCAATGGCAGAAGCTCCATATCATTGTTCTTAGTCCATTGATACAATATAGAACCAACTGTAGTAATAAACACATAGTCTTTGGGAAACGTTTATGATTAAAATGCTTGCTAGCTTCAATTTTTCTCTGATTTGCCTTCTTCCCCTCCCAGGCAGTATATGGTGCCTGTCCCCTCCCTCCTCCATACTGGAACTCTGAGAAGGGCTGGCTCCTTCTGAGCCACCTGAATGAGACTGTGACTGTAAGTGCTTCTTTTGAGTCTGTCAGGGGAAACAGGAGTCTCTTCACTGACCTCATGATGAAGTAGAACTTGTTCCATTGCATCACCTTCACTGTGAGTACTAGCTGCCTGTACCTGTTCGATTAATTATATAGAGTTCTATTTGTCACGGTGGTGGGAATCTAGCGTTCAATCCCAAGGGATGACTCTAAGAAAACAGTAAAGACTGCAGAAAGAGAGTGAGTTTTCAGCCTAATGAACAAAGCATAGACTTCTCACCGGACTAAAACCAAACCCATTGCTGTCGAGTCGATTCTGACTTATAGTAACCCTATAGGACAGAGTAGAACTGCCCATAGGGTTTCCAAAGAGCAGCTGGTGGATTCAAACTGCTGACTTTTCAGTTAGCAGCCAAGCTCTTAACCACTGCACCACTAGGGCTCCTTCCACCAGACTAGGGGAGAAATACTTTTATGCATGCCAAAGTTCAATTTAAGTCCTAAATAAAAGTCCTACTAGTCACAGAAATAGTATGACTTAGTCAGAAGAGTATTCTAGCTTTGATATGTAACCATCTTTTAAGGTGAGGGTTGGGCAATGCCTAGAAAACAAACTATACAAAAAAATCTCATGATGGAACAGCATGCAGCAGAATTTTTTTTCTTTTTTATGATGGATGTTAAGTACCTTTGGTCTTCTGAATGTGTAATGTGTAAATGGTGCAAGATATTCCAAGAAAATATCCAGTACCTCTTTGAGGTTGCCCAACTTGTGATACTCAGCTCCTATATTCTCCTATATTGTTTCAGAAATGTTTCTCCCCATCCCTTCAAAATATAACATCTACTCAGCCAAAAAGAGTATGAGTTAATAACTATAGCTGTAGGTGAGCTATGTGGAGAGCTGGGTCTTATTTATGGCTGCTCTTATTAATTTATTTCCCATATATCTTTTTTTCTTTTTTTTCTTTTTTCCCATGCAAAAATTTATACATACATTGTTATGTGACTCTAATTGCTCTCCCCATACTGTGACAGCACATTCCTCCTTTCCACCCGATTCCCTATGTCCGTTCAACCAGCTCCTAACCCCCTCTGCCTTTCCATCTCACCTCCAGACAGAAGCTGCCCGTTTAGTCTCTTGTAGCTACTTGAGCTAAGAGGCACACTGCTCACGAGTATCACTTTATGTCCCATAGTCCAGTCCAATCC